TCCAACTCTCTATTTTAACTTATAGTTGTTTATTTTTTTCTTGCTGAGCTGCTGCGAGTTGTGCGGACGATGATATTGTATTACGGTATTAAACGCAATTAATATATTTATATTGTATTTTGATTTTTGTCTCTTTTCACGACAATAATTCAAGCAACAATGTCTTTACCATTATGCACCAGCAACGTCTTTACCACCAAAGTTTTCATTCCTCCATTGACCTATCCGTCGCAATGTTTGTCTTGTTCCATCATCAGTGTAAGTTGAGGGAACATGCGGAAACATGAATAACTATTTGTGTTTTCAATATAGAGGTCAGAATTTTTTTCACGTGGAAGAAAAAATTGATGTGGTCTGATCAAAGTATAGTTAGTAGTGTCTGGTCTTAGAGGTTCTGTGAGGTTGTTTAAAACCTTCTTCATTACACGCGTCCCGTGAGAAAAACCGAAAAAGGTAATAACAATGCAAATGGGTATTGAGCAACACAATACACCCATTAAGACAGGAAACGTAATTATATCCAATTGTATCCACATTAATGTTCCAAAGAGTTATTGTAATCTTATGGTAACAAGACCACAGCGTTTTTTAAACTGATTCAGTTCTCATTCTACGTATAAAAGAAAACATTTTCTTGGCTCACAGTACTTAATCGCACAACACAGTACTTAAGTTAAATTGTTTTTGCTACGTCATATTATGAATACAACTCCTACAATGTGGCAGTGTCTGTTGATAACACAGAGAATGTAGAGTTGTTGATTTTGAAAATACGAAGTATTTGTTCGAAAGAAACCTTCAAATCTTATTTCTACCACCACAACATGGATAGAACACACTTAAAAGTTTGATGGAGGGATACAAATTATATAATTATTTCTTACATAAATCCTCCCTTATTAAAGCAAGTGGGTATTAATGTTTTTGAGCAATATGTACTTCCACTCCAGTTTTCACGTGTAATATGTTGGTGGCATTGTAAGAAGTGGTTGCGCGATCCCAAAAACCGGTCGCGAGCACCTCTTACCTCCGCGCGTGTGCCTAGTGATCCGTATCTTACGACTTTCTGATTTCCTTAATACCTGCTTTTGCCCCCGAAGGGTAGATGGTAATACAATGTCCACGGATTATAAATGGAGTGATTTTCCAAAACCAGAATTAAGAATGCTTATTCATTTCTGTTTATCAGCTAAGTTTCCTTCGATTTTATTACAAACACATATGTATCTAATGTTCGTCAGTATGTTAGTTGTCAATATGATAGGATTTTACAAAGTGTTTCTCTGCTTGTATTTTTTGCGTAATTGCATACTTTTTCTGTTTATATGTTTATCTGCGAGCATATAAACGTCTCAGTTTAAGATGCAGCAGAGATGGCCAAACATCCAGATAATTATTATCATCGAGAAAAATCACATTTGTTTTGTATGTTTTGATTGAATTTGGGGATTTCATCTCATCAGCGTATGTTTCTCATAATTCCATATAAAATGAAATGAATAAAACAGATTTAATCATTAAAATTGTTTACTTTAGCAATTTTTATGTTTTTCGAGTATGCAATTTACGTCGATATGAAGGGTTGTGTAGCAGGTTTATCCGGTATGATTAGTTGTTTTATTTTTGCAATTGATATTTTCTTTGTATAGTGTTCGAATTCATTACATCATAGTTCTATAAATATTATTAAGATTTTTATTTCTGACGCAATGTGGTACGTTTTTTGACGAAGTTCTTACAATGAAGTTCTCTAAATAAATCAAATGAATATTCTTATAAATATAAGATAAAATATAATATTCTTATAAATATTGACCAACAGGCTATCATAGTAATGTTCTCCTAAAAAACAACAACTCGATTCGATTTTCTATCAGAATGTGTAATATTAACTTAATTTTGGTAGGCCGTGTTCTGCAGCCCACACAATTACACTCTTCTTTGATTAAGAATTCCTTAAAAATTGTACAATACGGTTTTTAGACAAAATATTTTAATTAATTTGTTTAACAGTAGTTTACTATTTTCAAGGTTAATTCGGGTACTATACAACGTACCAGATAGTTTTGTTGAAAGGCAATCTTCGTTTGCCGCTGCTTAAATACGAGTGGTCGCATTTCACAGAGGACTCTGAAATATGGGAGGTCTTTCGCTGGGTTCTCCCCACTGCATAATATACGGTTGCCGACCCACCCAACCGTTCGTTTCTTCGTTCTCCTTTTTGCGCCCGATCGTGTGAACTTTCCGGCGAGCCCTTGGGTGGCGCCGTGATTTACGTGGTTCTTTCGCAGCTGTCGAGTGCAGGTCCTCTTGACTGGTTCCGGGTAACTACTTCGTGCTCTGCCCCCTCCATTCAATGTTTTGGGTGAAGTAGTCGTACGAGCGATGTGTCCCTTGAATATTCTATTGAATTTTGTCTCTGGTAAAACGTTCTTCGTGGAATTCGTCTTAGGTTTTTAAAATAAGATTTTAAATATTGATGCTTATCCCAGGAACAGTTTGTTGAAAATATTTGTAGATGAGCGTTATTTTAATTTCTAACTGTACACAAGAGAGGTTTAATAAGTGTTTGCTCTTCCCTTTCCTGAGTAGACGTTCACAGTAGGAATTGGAATTAAACGGGCCCCAGCATCAAGGTAAGAGTTATCACGAAAATTGTTATCGGTAGAAGAAAATGAAGGATGTTCGTTATTAGAACAACCTGCAGACTTAAGCTAAATCATATCGCGCCCAAGTGCCTGGAAAAATACTCAGATACATAAACTCCAGGAGAAGTCGAAGCAATCGGGCTCCGCGATTTGAATGCTTCCCTTGTTGGAACATTTGTGCCAACCGTCCGCAGGCCGACCGGATCATATACACATCATTCAATCACTTGCTTATTAAAACTACTGGTATATTAATTTAATTTGTTTGTTTGTATTTTTATTTTGGATATTTCGTGTTTATTCGTTATACTTTTTACGCTCGATCTAAATTGTTGACATATTTCATCTATGAACATAATATTATTTGTTGTCTAGAATTAGAAGAGGCTTTTTTAAAAGTAGGATTTGAAAGACCACGGTTTCATTGAAATGAATACTTAAAGGACTCTTAAGGCCCATTTGTAATATACTTGTAAATTCTTTATACAATTACTAATTCATTGTTAACAAAAAGGAAATCTTACTACTATTCGCCGAGGTAAATGATTTCAAATAGCTATGATAAACAAAACGATTTCAATATCATTCCGGGTAATGATGCATTTGTGCTTCATAACCCTTTACATCAGAAAAAACACATTTTGGTTTAGTCGATGTCAACTTGCACAATTATTTCAATGCTAAGAAAATGACACCAGAAAATTAACATTCTTCATCTTCATTTGCTGTAGCTCAAAAGAACAGCTACATTTGCGAGAGTACTAAAAGCAGAATATTTCAAACTATGGCGTAAGACACAGAAAACTAGTAGTGGTAAAACAGCATATACTCTTTCGCCTATACTTTGCCGCAAAATTACGTGAAAAGTACTTAAATTTACGAAACATTCTACATGACCTTATTGACTCCGAACAAATTTTGAACATTTGCAATTTCCAAAAAATCAGGATTTTCAACGAACATCGGATCTACACCATTCTCATAAACGTCCTTTACCCCATCTATTAACATTTAATAAAAAACGATGGAGCCATTTTTTTAATGTAAAAAATGTCCCAGGGCTTCATGTAGAGCACCCATAAAAATTAAAATATCGCTTTTAAATTCAAGGGGCGGTGACATGAGCAAGATCAATTGAGGACTATCCATTTTGGAGAAAAGTAGTTGAACGGTTTAGCCGCTAGAGTTGTTCACAGACGGACGGAGAGACGTTTTGCCGTCATTCAATTTTTCTGTATCAACGACCCACAAAACATGGATTATGGCTGCACCACATGTTAGAGAATTTGTTTTCTAACTTCAGCAACTGGATTTATCCACTTTTTCGTTACCGAGACCTTGTAGTAAGAATTTTTCTGCCGAAAACTCGCCTTTATTTCGCTTAGCATTACAATTATTTTTCTCTTCTTCGTAACTAGAAAATAAAAAGTTGAAATTATGAGAAGGAAATACATAGCATTGATGTTAATGAAAAAAATAATGTTACATGATTAAAAAATAAAGAAACTGACGTATGTGTTATCACTTGATTCCCGAGAAAGCGACGAGTTTTTACTGTCTGGTTACATTGAGCTGCGAATTTTCCATTTTTTCATTATGGAAAGGGAGTTTCTGGTTTTTAATATATTTTTCTGTATCAATGGTTCGGAAACTAGTACTTACCTTCACTATTTATTGATTGGAAATTATTATTTTTAGTACGCATATGACAAAGGAGACTTCTCTTTACGCGCACCGCATAGTCATAGACATTTAAAGCAATTGCGTACCATGAAGTAAACAAAATACTGGGGTGACATCCTGGCAATTGAGAATGTCTCTAAAATTACGTTCTTGTAAGTATCCAAGAATTCATGTTAAAAACATTGTAAGCAACTATGTCGTACTTCGAAAGTGTCATTGGTGTTCTCATTTCAAAATGCGGAACCCAACTCGCCTTCTATCGTTACGTCGTCACAATTTATTAGTATATCAAAGATTCACTTTCTGTACTAGTTACGTAAATAACTATTATAGTGCTAATCTTGAAGATTGACAGAAAATGATCAATGTTTTTCTTGTAATTGTAAGCCATAAAAATACTAAAAATTCTTCTTTTTCCCCTTCTTGTTAGCAGCATGTAGAACTTTCATCCATTTAAACTTATTTCTCTCGGCTTGTCATTTTTAATGCATCTTTTGGGCAACTATGTGTATACTGTTAATGTATTCCAGATTCCCTGGTATCGTGTTTACAAGCAATG